GAGGGTTTTGTGAGAAGACAGTCGACGTGCTTCTACTTCTTGCTACTCGCCTGCGCATTTGCCTGCCCCACGGTGCTGCTTTCTTTCCGTTATCGACCAAGTGATGATCTATTGGCAAAATCGGAAACGAAAAGTAGCTCTTACATGTATCACGGTACTGTGAACAACTTCCATGAAGTGGGATTTCCGCACAGAGATGCGCATGAGTGCTGCATTGGCCGCCTTTGATCCTGCAACGGGAGAGCCACAGTCGCATGCTGTCAATGCAGCCACCAGTAAGGTCATAGAGGGTCTCAGAGGCGATGCGTTCGATATAGCTATGGATATCAGTAAGGACGCGCTTTTGTCTAAAACAGGTGTCGATCTGCTGATACAGGCGATCCGTACCTCTCTCGTTCCCATAGAGGCTCAGGAATCCAATCTCGTCTTCTAAGAAAGACAGAGATCCTACGGACCAATGCCCCGACAGAGCGGTGAGTCTATGGTCTCGTACATATCACGCAGAAAGCGCTGGTGGAAGCTTGTCTCTAAACTCGACCCGGATTTCATGATGAGTGGCGACATGTTCGGATCTCTTCTCTTGGGCCAAGCAGGACTCTCGCCTTCGGAAAACTTGAGAGTACTGACACCAGCGGGCAATGTGACCAGTTCCGACAAGGTCAAGGACGTCTTGATCGTCTAGCACGGTCGTATCCACATCCGCCACAAAGACAAGGGAGACTCGGGAAAGAACTCCACCTTAACTCAGTGGACGCCCCGAAACCCCAACAAGGGCAAGGGCAATGCCGGGTACTTTAGTAGGCCGCCACAGGCGTACCGCGCTGCCGACGCCAGCTGGCATGAGCAGGAGGAGCACTACCCCGAGGAGTTCAGCCCCTATGGTTACTACGCGTCCGGCAACACACCTGAAGATGGCTGGGACGATGAGTCTTGGTGGACAGGCACCTGGGCGCATGGCCCTGCGCTTGCTGGACATCCGCGCCGCGCGGAGACGAGCTCGACGCCGAAGTAATGGAGGAACTGGTCGAAAACGGCTACGCGGAAGAAGAAGTTTCTGGTATCGGAGACGACCTGATAGCCAATCTTGGCGCTAAAGGAAGAGGCGAGAGCAGTGGCCGAGGAAAAGACCACCGTTGGCAACCCTCATCGTCCAATGACTGTCACAAGGGATCGCCGACCCCGGAAGAGCGCAAGGCTCGCCTCCAGAAGATCAAGCAATGATCGACGTGGAAGACTTGTAACGATATTGGCCACTGGTCTGGGGGCCCTGAGTGCAAGGAAAACCCAAGACGGCCATGGCAGCGCACATCGGTGAGCGGTCGCTCCCGTTGCGCGAGGGCGGCTGCGACGAACAGTTCGCGTCCGTGGGGTCTGTTGCGATATCTCCTACGGTCCGCCGTCGTCGCGACTTCAGCAACATCGCGCGCGCTACATCATTTTCCTGCTCTTCCTCCTCGCCACGCGTTGTGCGCTGTCGTAGAGCATGTTTGAGCGAGGGAGGGAGGTGCAGCCGGCAGTGTTGCTTGATGCAGGGGCGCGTGGAAGAGCACGTTTGCGGGGGCTGCTTCGAGGGCGCCCTGTTGCCCGAAGCCACTTTGGCCCGCGGCCCCGAGCGCGAGCGCGCGGCCGCGGCGTGGGGGGGCCCTCAGACCTCGTCGGGGGGGGGGGGAGAGGCCGCGCGCGCGTGGCTCTTCGCATCCCCGCCTCAAGGGCTGCCGCTCCGAGCGCCTCGACAGGCGCCCCCGAGAACTATTTGATGAGCGGTGTATCGGATGAGGAGTTCGAGACGGCGCCAATTCGAGAGCTGGTTGCTGTTCATGGTCATGACGCGACGTTTATCGCTGGGTCAGCGTAGAGGTCTCACGTGCGGCGGAGTGCTCAGAGATGCGCCTGATTATGTTTCTTGGGGTCGCGCGTCAAGAAGCCGAGTGGGGGGCCGAGAGCTTTCTTAGCGTAGTTCGATGAGTATTTCGATCAGTGGCCAATGGTCGCGTCGCTCGTCGCGCCGCAGATGGCGCGCGTCCTCCTGTCAGTTCCGGCGCCGGCGGCTCGACGGGCGGGGGGGGGGGCCTCCGGAGCCGCCGTTGCCGCGTCCGTGTGCTCGCGGTTGCGCAAGTTTCTCCGGCGCTGGCTCGTCGGCTCGATCCGTCGCTCGCACCTGCAGGGGCTGCGGGCGCAAGACCAAGAAGGAGAGATAGGGGGCGCCGCATCAGGCGGGCGAGGGCCCTCAGGACCTGCTTGACAACAGGGGTACTAGTAGTGCTAAAGGGGTCATCCGCGCGCTCTCTTGCAATGCCTGGCTCGCAATGGCGAACGGCCTCGCGAGTTCGCTCGGGAGAAGAAGGAGACTGCGAAGAAGGTCGAGAGCGCGCCGCCGACCTCCAGGCTGAGGCGCTGGGGGAGATCGTCGAGAGTGACCGTCGCCTCGGCGCTGAGGGGCTGAAGATCTCCATGGAGACATCCACGAGTCGCTCTATGTCGGTCTGTCAGAACACGGGCGACATCGGCACTAACCGAGCACGGGCGAGAATAATGCCCCCCCCTTCCCCCCCTTATTTTTACCCCCGCCCAATGGGGTTAAATTTCGCGGGGGCGGGGGGGGGGGGGGGGGGGGGGGGCGCGGCCCGAATTGTTAATCTACAGGGAAAGTTGCGAATCGAAGTTGCTATCGTCTCATGTTGACTAGCGACAGCTTGAAGAATGCTGCGCCTCCTCTTCCCTCTCCCTCCCCTGTTCCTTTTCTTCCTTCTCTTTCTCCTCCTTCCGCCCCCCCCCCGGGGCCCGAACTTTTTTTCATCCTCGGGGTTGTTTATCGCCCGCGAGGTCTCACCGCGGGCCCCCTGCATGCGAGGTTGGAGACGATTTTAGGAAGAATCTGCATTCGCACTTTAAAAACATAAGGCCCCGAATCCAACATTTTTTCGTTGAGTGTCGATCCTGGGGCCATCCTTTTCTCTCTTCCGCCTCCCGCCATTATTATTCCTCTTTCCTGCTCGTGTTCCTATTAATTATATTTCAGTCAACCCGCGTGGCAAGGATGAGCAATTTCGTTGCCCGTGGATTTTTGCCACTTGGGCCCCTCTCTGGGCCTTGCCAGGACCTTGCATCTTTACCGCGCATCCTTACTGCGCGAGTCGACATCTCTCGAGATCTCTCGGGTCAGCCTTGCGCCGAGCGCCCGTTTGCAAGTTGTATGGCCACGAGCCTCGAGATCTCTCGAGTCAGCCTTGTGCCGGGCGCTTGCTGGCAAGGTGCGTAGCCGCGAGCCTCGAGATCTCTCGAGTCAGCCATGCGCCGAGCGCCCGGGATCACCGTCGTCATCATCATCGCCATCGTCATCGCCATCGTAACTTAGTTTCCCCAGGGACATCTTTTATTATCCCAGGCATGACCCCGAACTTTGTTTTCCCCGGGATATTCTTATCGCCCGCGCTGGGTTAGCGAAGTGACTGCGTTGCTTCGGGATTGCGTCTCCGAGACGGCCGATCATGCACTCATTGCGTTTGTCGCGCGGGCATCTCCTGCGTCGACTGATTCGTCGGCGACTTCTCAGCTCAGACCTGGTGGACGTCTTCAAGGATGATGGTGCGCGGGCTGTCCTGGACGAAGGGTGCAAGTCACGTTGCCGCGGCGAGGTTTAGGCTGTCAGTGCGGGAGTTTGGGAAGGCCGGATATTATCTTGAGTCGTGCAACAGAACTTGTATGACTTATCTTAATATTGGTGGTCAGGCTGGCCATTCCACGACGGGTGCGAAGCGTTTCTTTTGTCGCGTCGTTGGCAGTCGTGGTGCGCTTCGCGGTGCTCTCGAGTCCCATCCGTTGAAAAATCCAGATCACGTGGCGCTCCTGCTGTCGTTGCCGGCGCAGGTGTCGCTCGGGGTCGTTACGGGCTTCGCCAAGGGCCGCTCCGCTCTGGATCAGGAGGGCGATGTGGAGATATGCCGCCTTCATCGTTCTGGACTCCTTGCCATCTTACTCGATTTTCTAATCGTGCCTTGATCTTGCGCGCCCTTATCATATCTCTCATGCAGCCGCGACGGCCCCCGTGGAAGCAGATTGGGCACGGCGGGCGAGTCTGGATCAGAGCGACGGCGAGTGCGACCAGTAGTTATCAACAATGGGTAAGCGCCGCGCAGATTCCCCAGTCGAGTCGAGTCGCCATCCGACGAATCATCGAGGAGTGAAGTCCTTTTGTTTGGGGTTGCCACCATGGAGTTTGAGTATTCGAGAGTCATCCTGCGGGGGCGGGCGCCAAGCTGCTCACCGAGTATCTTGGCATTCTTTACCGTGGGAAGAGCTGTGCGTGAGCGCGTCGGGAGGGGCGAATAGGTTTTGTTCGATGATATGGGTGCCTCCCGTCCGCAGCCCGGAGAATTTTAGAGATTCCTCTTCGTCGACGCACGGAAGCTGGGCAATCCGCAGAGTGCGCGTCGCATCGGGGTTCGTCCAAGGACGCGGAACGCATCTGCTGAGAATCGCCACTTCCCGGACCTTGCGGCCGGTCCATTTCGCGCTGCTCCAAGGATGAGTCAGCTGAGATTGTCTTGATATGCCGCCCAGGTCGGCGCCCTCCAGTCGCAGTTTCGTGGACTGAGGCAATGCCTTTCGGAAGTGCACATTGCGCGTGGCTCGCCCCGCCTCCGCGACCATGAGCGGGGCGAGAGAACGTGTGGCGGACGCAGTGATGGCTGCTGCCCCAGGCCCTTCGGGGCTGTCGAGATGGCCGCGGGCGCCGCGAGCCAGATGGCCCTCGCGATCTCAGACGCTTTCCAGAAGCGCAGTGGGCCCCCTTCTCTGTCCGAAGGCCGCGACGCGCATCCAGTTGCCGAGCGCCCCCCGAGGCAGGAGGGTTCGATCGGGCTTGTCTTTATTAAAAGTGCTCCCGCGCCAGTGATCGCCCCCGTGTCCACGATGAAGTAAGTGATGCAGACGTCGCGAAGATGGCCAGATGATGCATTCGCACCGTATGGAAGTCGCGCAAGGGACCAGAACATGACGAGGACGACATAAAGGATATCATGGGGCGCTACAGGGGCCGAGAGCTGGAGCTCTACGTCGCCATCCGCGCAGAGGGCGCTCGTGCTCCTGTTGGTTGCGTGCGCATCGTCAGAGAAGTTGCTGAGTTCAAGGAGACGGACGTCATGCCGAGTCCACCAGGGATGACTTTCGTTGCTCCTGATGACGACGACGATGGGCGTTCGGCCGCGGCAGGGCCCAGCCGCCCTTTGGGGGGCGCGCCCGGCGCCGAGCGGGCGTGGGCGACTCCGACTCCGAAGCGCAAGGCGGAGAGCGACCCATCTGCGACTGCCTCGTTGACTCCCAGGCCACCGTCAGCATCGCCGCCGGCGTCTCTTCGTGCTCGGGAGCCTTCAATGCCGCCGCCGGCTCGTGCGCCGAAGGCAGCTGCGCACATGCCGCCTCCTCCGCCGCCTGCCGGCGCGGCTGCTATCCCGGGATCTCTGGGCGGGGACCTGCGGATGGGAGACGACGGGGGCGGAGATCCAATCGTGGACTTCGAACTTTTGAATGTTGGAGATGAGCAGATGGAGACGTCGTTCGAAGCTGGTAAGCAGCGCAATTTTATCGCGCGCGTTGATCCAGTGACGTTTTTGGAGCAGTGGGCGTCATCAGCATCTAGGCGCATGGACAGCCGCATCACAGTACGCGTCGATTTTAAATTTGGTCATTTTGACAGGATACTGAATATCCTACGTCGTGGGCCAATTGGCGCAAGAGTCTTCTGGGCCGCCACGAGGAGACACATAAGTGGGGGCGGCTCGAGGGCCGCGCGCTCCTGCACTCGTGGTGTGACGCACAGGAGTATCACCCGGCCGCCTCGTATACACCATGTCGGAACTGCTTCTTTGCGTGCGCCGCTCGGACTTGTTGAGCACCAGATTGCCGCCATGAGTGCTAAGAAGCGCGAGCACTACTGTGCCTGGCTGGTTGATGCGGGCAAGAATGGCTCCATCGTCGCGAAGTGTTTGGCGGGCGTCGAATGCCGCTCGCAGGCCACGTCGCAGCGGGCAAGGTGCAGTGCATCATCGTCGGCCTCGCCGTTGCAGGGGCCGCCGGCGCGAACTGCGCGGCGGAGGACGTTGTGATTTGTCCATCCTGGGAAGCATGCGTAGAAAAAGAAAATGATCGAGTGCAGCCCTAATCTCATCGTCGCTCATGCCGCTGGTCATGACGCGGGCAGCATCCGTAGTTGTTTTGAGGCGCTGCCAAGGAATCGTGCCTCAGTCGCCGTTGCGCTTGGTCGAGGAGCTGTTTGCTCGAGCTTTTACCTTGCGGATGCGCTGAACTCTTACCTGGAGTCAGACCCCGGCGCTAGCTCAAGACTCTTGGCTCCCTGTGCGATCTCGTTCATCAGATGCGGTTAGATCGTCTTACTGCGACCGCCTGCCCAGCTGAAGCTGCCGAGGAGAGAGAGTGGGCGCGCCGCCGAATCAGTCGACGTCGATGCGGGCGTCGCTGTCGAGCTGCAGTCACTGCGTAAAGATGAAGAGCAAGACATCCCAGAGGAGCCACCGCTTCCCAGATAGCCGAAATCGGAGGGATCTCGGAGAAGGGCTTGGCTCACTATACCCCTCAGAGTGGGGATCGCCATTCGGCATCTTCATCGACGCTTCGGGCATGTGCCAGATCGTGTCCTGATCCAGTTCATCAGGCTATCCGAATGTCAACAGAGGGCATTGAAGCAGCAAAGCACCGCGTGTGCGAGTCTTGTGAGCTTCGCACGCCGCTGGCTCAGACTCAGGGGGTCGCCGTCCCGCGTCAATCGTGACATTGGTAATGATTGTATTGAGACCAAGGACAACAGTGGAGAGAAGCACGCCTTCCAGAACATCATCTGCCAAGGGGCGACGTTGCGACGCGTCGTATTTGTGCGCCGCGGTGGCGGCGCGACACCTTCAAGGACGTGCCTCGCGGCATTCCAGCAATATTGGAGCGCGTGGGCCGGTGGGCCCAGACGGACTTGATTAGGTAATCCAAGCAGCCGCAGAAGTTGATCGGGCTCGATGAGGTCATGGAAGCAGCCGCAGAAATTGACAGTGCAGAGAGAGAGAGAGAGAGAGAGAGAGAGAGAGAGAGGGAGAGAGAGAGAGAGAGAGAGAGAGAGAGAGAGAGAGAGTTGCCTCGAACATGTAGATTCCCACCAGTCTAATAGGTTCTTGGACGACTACCCCGTGTGCCAGGGAGTCAGTTCGACGACGATGAAGCTTTGACTTTGGTGCGTTGGTTAACGTTCCAAGCAGCGATCCGTGCTGCAGTGCGCAATGAATTTGCCGATCACGGCGTCGGGCGTCGGGCGGCGCGTGCTGTGCTCCGAAAGGCCGCGCCTTTAGCATGTGAGTACTAGGTTGGTGATGTGGTGTGTTTTCGCAAGAAACCGGCCGAGGGCGATGCCGCAGCCAAGGGGAGTGCTGGCTCTCGAATCGACGGATTTGGGGGCAAGAATGCGTGGGTCATCGCCGAGGGGGCCCAGTTTGCGTCGCAATCGACAGGCTCCGTCAGCGCACTGCGGCGGAATTCTTTGCGTGCCAATATCTTCCTCTACGACGCGTTGGCGGTTTGGGTCGGTATGCCCCTGAGATATGCCAGAGATCAATGAACCTGAAGGTCAACAGGGGGCGCGTTGCCTGCTATCCCAGAAGATGCCGAGCTAGAAGCAGCAATGGGGGAGTCTCAACCCGCTTTCCAGGTATATGATCTGAGCGACGAGGCTGAAGGCGATGTAATGGCGCCCCCTGGCGAGCAAGAGGCATCGCGGCCACCGCAAGTGATCCGCGCCCTATTGCAGAGATCTCTGCTGGATGATGTCCCGCACGGAGTGCGTGGGAGTAGCGAGGTGATGCGCAGGAGACTCGCGGTAGGTGGTTCAGCATCAGCTGCGGAAAGGACACCGGGAGATGTTTGCCTGGACTCAACACCGGGACCAGGACCCAGGCCAGCGAGTCCGCTGCTTGATGCGTGGCATAGGACTGGTACGAGGTGCAGGCGTGGAACTATTGCAGACCAGGACACAACCATTACTGTCACACCTCACGAATCTCTTGTAGTTCAATGGGCGTACCATAAGTAAGACCCAGCCACGGAAGAAATGAAAGAGTGCCAGAAACTTAATATTCATTGGGATTCAGACGACGTCAAGAGCGGGTTGCGGCTTGCGAGACAATACGAAGGGGGAACCTGGAGATATTAATGCAGCAGTGTCCATATACCCTAAACAGCTACCGCAACTCTTGGACGAAAGATATTGCGCTGTCATAAAACCACGTGATTGAGACGGATAAGAACGAGCATCTTCGCAGAGCAGGTGGTCCGCCAGTTGCGCCCTAATACAAGAGCAGTCTCGTCGTGCGAGGAGATTTAGAGGAGCCGCTTGGTATTCTCACGGATTCGCCAACATGTGAGCTTGAAGGCTCAAGGCTTGCTGTGTCCTACAGGAGCCAACGAGACGGTGAATGTGCCGACGTTATTTATGCAGTCTTCCAGGGGCAAGAAGTCGACCGTCGACATGTTGCTCAAGCTACCGGCAGACAGATTAGATGGAGTCCCGGAGGGCGGAGCGCTTACCGCCCGTGTGCCCGTTTACAGATCCCGCGACGCCGGTAGAGGCGCCAGGAAGAATATCCGCTAAAACTGCAAGACGCATGGACGGAGAGAGAGAGAGAGAGAGAGAGAGAGAGAGAGAGAGAGAGAGAGAGAGAGCCGCATCATGCGAGCTGAGAGAGAGAGAGAGAGCCGCATCATGCGAGCTCTCTTCAGCATCGCAAGTAACGTAGGTGAGATCACGCGCATGCTGGGCACCCATGTAGATGATATATCATGGGCCGCGGACAGCGAGAGCCATAATAGCATTGATTCAGCAGTGGTGGATTTTGATAGCCGAGAGGTTGTTTTAGGAGATGCCCGCTATGGCGGATTAGAAGATGTCGACGATGCGGATTTTACTGTTCGCATCAGTGCGAAGGAACACATAGAGAATATTGAGGCTGTATCCTATCCCTGTGCAATGGAGGAGAGGTATCCCCAGCCTGGTCAGTTGCATGTGCTCTGTCATGGGTTACCCGACAGTGCAAACCTGAGCTAACTTCTCGCGCGAGTCAACTACAGACTGGTGAACCACGCACAGCTGCGCTCCATCTCAAGGAAGTGAATCACGTTCTGGAAGAGGCGTTACAGTCTTTAGACAGTGGACTTGTGTTCATGAGAGGAGCAGTCGAATTGGGCGCGGGGGCGATAGTTGTTGCAGTCACCGACGCCAGCTGGACAGGAGAGACCGGCATCGTCAAAAAGTCAGCTTGTGCCTTCAGATTTTTTTGTTGGGCCCGGATTTGTCGAAGGGAACATTGGTCATGTTCGCTCTATATGACTGTCGAGTAAGGTCATCAGGCGCGCATGTAGATCTACCCTGAAGGCGGAGACTTTGGCTTGTCTCTGGGGTGTAGAATCAGGTGGGCGCTTCCGCGCTGCAATCGCTGCTGCTCGTGGCGCGCTTGGTGCCGGGCACGAGCTTCCTTCAGATTCGGAGGGCATTTCTGCCAT